GTTTTGTATTTTGTATTTTACAAAATATGAAGTTTAGACAGCTGGTATTAATTGTCATAACTCCTTGGCTTCAGTGGAGCTGACGGTTTATGCCAGTTCAGGATCTTCCCCTGTGCACGATAATTTTAGTATCTACTTTAGTATCTGTAATTTAGTACAACAACTGGTAGTGTCATTCCAGACGAGTTACAGTAAGGATATAAATGATGAACATCGCTCCCTTTCCCTCTCTCTTTCCAGTTCTATTTAATATTTTGTTAAATATTTTAACACTGTGAACTGTGTTTTCCTCTCCCAAGTGCTTTGGCTGCAAGTAGCGAGTTTCCAACTCTCACCATATGGTTTTCTTATATAATGGAGTCTTCCCCACAAGTAGATCACAAAGAGGAGACAGATGGTAAACGTAACTTAGACCGTGCCGTGAAGGGCTTATTTATAACTCACAGTAGCCATAGGACAGCAGGGGGGCCTCCCGAAAGGAGAAATCACAGAGGAACTAAACTTTTTCTTAAAGTCCTGACTTCGTAGTCCTATTGTAAGTAGTATTCAGTTCAGGAAAAAGCTGGTATTTTTCTGTGTCTCATGTGAGGATGTTAATCACGTCACCAAAAATCAAGGACTTCTACGTTTTATAATGAAGGTGAGTTTTATTATTTAGGGGAGGGTTTTTTTTTTTGTCTGGTTAAAGCTGCACAACATTTTTTGATCAGTTGAGGACTCTGACCTCCTTTCAGAAATGAAAATTAATTAAATTTAAGGAGGTGGATTTGGGGACTTGTGAGCCGTCAAACCTTCTGTGTCCCCTTAATGGTTTTCTTTGTTCACTTTGGTTATTTTGCCTACAGTAAGGTTTTAGGGACTCTGTGAAAAGTTGAAAAACTGCTGTGATCATAACAAATCAAGACATATCAGAGGTAATAGCTTACCCATTTACAGCAAACAAATAAGATGCTTGAAAACAGTTGGGTTTGGTTTTTTGGGGGTTGTTTTTGTTTTTTGTTTTTTTTCACAGAGTATTTCTAATCTATTGCCTAGTTTCCTATGCATTATTGCATTTGTATTACATTTTCACTTTAAAATTCTTAGAGATCACTTTCTGCATTATGGCCAGTCAAGTCATTCTAGTAATGGCATTTTCTCTTCTATTCAATTCCAGAGGTAAGACCATTGATCAAAGGATGGAGGTTAAACTTCTCTTCTAGGAAAAATCTCAGTGTAGACCTCCTTTGAAAGTGGAACTGCAGTCTAGTACTTTCAGTATAAGCATTATAACACCAGACTAACATTTCCTGAGGTATTTTGTTTAATCATACGAAAGATAAAATATGGAGAAAGAAAAAAAATATTAGACTAGTGTCAGGTGAATGCTAGAGTGATGAGACTGTATAGGCAAAGAAAAGCCTAGTAACAAGCTGAATTAATTTTTTGATCATGGTTATGTTCGACATTACAATCTGGGATTTTTTTGAGTGGGAAGCTTCAATGAGGAGCTCTTACAGCTTTTCCTGAGATAGGTTGATCTCAGGAAATAAAAGATGAGACTTAATCTTAAGATTGGACAGCTTCATAATAGGAAGACAAATCTCTTCTGAAGTAAGTACATATACAAGTAGACTCTTGTTGCATCAAAGAATAAGCATTACTTGTATTAGATGAACTCTGTGGGAAAATTCTTACTACAAACCAAGAATATACATATATGTGTGTGTGTATATATATATACACACAACTTTTAAAACTATAACTAGTTCATCTCAAAAGGGAATTAGTAGGTCAAGGTTTCTTGGGTTGGAAAATCTATTACCACATACTTTGTGCAAAGCTATCAGCAGATGATGAAGGCACAGCTCTTCCACGATTTGTAGGTGTCAGGACTTCTTGACTCAGCCACTTCTGTTTTCTCAGCAACAATATGTTGACTGTGCGGATCCTTTCCTAGTGATAAGGCAGATACAAAGGAGCTTCAGTCCGCTGTTGTCGTTCCTGAAGCAGTGGTCACTGCCTCACAGACCCAAGCCAAAACTCAAGGAGTGCTTCTTTTTAAAGATTCTGGATTGTCTTTGTTGGAAACTACTCATCTGCCTTGAGGGGTGCCTGAGGCAGGGTCCTGCTGCTGTTCCTGCTCAAGGTTTAACCGCCATGGAGAGGGATGAAAGTGCAAACAGGGGTGGTATCATGTTTAGTAATGCCCTACTGCTTTATATCCATATCTTTTAGCATCAAAGGTGGAGGTAGGATGACTTGCAGATGCAAAATGTCCTAGAGCCAGCTGGCTAACCTTCAAGCATATTAAGAGTTAGTGATGCCAAAGAACTGGAAAGTAGCCTAAAGTAATAGCAGATATGGCAGTATTCCAGATGGCAGAAGTGTATCTGCCACCTTGAAAGCCCACAGCCTGTTGGACTGGCACATTTTTGGAAGTTCAGACAGCAGGAATTTGCAAAGAAAGAAAATTTCTTCCAACATTTGCACTTCTAAAGAAAACTTCAGATTTGTTATTTGAGGCTTAGTCTCGCTGCTGTCGGCACCCTTAGTGACACTGTCAAGAGATTCAGGTAATTAGAGCTATCAGAAAGGTTCAAGACAGAGGTTTAGCTCAAAAGCTAAATTGTGTTCTCAGACTTGTAAACATAATCTTCTTCCTACAATTAATTGCACATAATAAGCAGATCAGACTTTGGAATACTTGGTTTTCAAATGACTTTAAGATGAAGCCATATAGATGGGGTATGTTGCTGTAGTGAAGGTTAGCAGTAACCTCCACTTGAGGCGTTCAGGTGAAACGCAATTCCTTGTGAAAGATTATCTTCGGGACTTACTTTTCTGCTCCAGCCCTGTATGAAGGCTAGAAGGTCCCTATGTCCCAGGCTACTTCGATGCATGAATTGCACCAATGCATGATGTTCCTTTGCTTTCTGACAGGTTCACGCAGTAAACTTTTTATTCAGCTTCTGTATTTTAAGTACAAGGCTAAAGGCTATCAGCCACAAGTAGGGAAGAAGAAATTTAAAAAGCAGAGAAGCAAAAGAGAACAGAGAAGAACTTCTCTAAGACCTGCTTAGAAAAATGAGGAAGTCAAAGTATTTTAACTAGTTTTAAGGTTATACTGATCACAATGGGGATTTTACTTACAGGCATGAAGTAAGCTAAAAGCTTACAAAGATGTGCAAACCCAACTGCACAATATATAAATGCATATTAAAGTGTACAGGGACCTCGAGAACTTCACTAGCATTCTTGTGGTCTCTGCCCTTCTAGACACAACAGAATTTTACCATGCTATTGCTAATCTGAAACAGTCTAAATAGGAACTAACACAGTAATTTTACATCCATGTGTTCACAAGTGACAAACTGAAATGCCTTGGATTCTTATCAGTCTACAAATGAGGTATTTGTCATCTCTGATTAGGGGTAGAATGACTTTCCATACTCATTTGTTGAAAAGGAGCACCCAAGTGTTCTCCAGAACATCTCTGTTGAAGCTGAATTTGAAGTTTGGAAATTGTAAATCAGGGCAGGGACTGGTAGCTAAATGCTCTTGTTTCATATGCTGTGACTGCTTTCATTTGGAAAAACATACCAAAATATCACAGAATCTCATTCAATCTGTATAGCTACAACAGCACCAGTGAGCGTTGATGATGTTGGTGTGTTTTTGAAGAGCTTATATGAAAACAACTCTTAATGTTCATTATTTTTAACACTATATAAAAATTCCCATGTTTATAATCTGTAATAAAGAATTCAAGAACTTAAAGGGTAAGAACTACTAAGAACTTAACTTTCCTTATCATGAAATGCCCTGACTTCAGTTCCTCTAAACCACAAGTGAGAAGACCCTTCCATTAGTAACCTGCTTTTCTAGCCTTTTTACTTTGAGCCTTTGAGTCTCTCTGCACCATGGTTGGCACACTGAGTTTTTAGGCTTGCCTGGGACGCAGGGCATCTGTACAGTACAGACAGCAATGGCGCTGGAGTCACGTCATTATTTCCTTCCTCCCACAAGCTCTGATAGACCTGATGATTTGAAAAAAAAAAAAAGGGGGGGGAAAAAAAAAAAGGGAGGGAAAAATAAAAAGGAAAAGGTTTGCCCTGAACTTGAAGTGCCTTTCTGTTAGATTCCTAACAAATACAGTGTAATTTAAAATTTGCAACACTTTTCTCTTGAAAAATGCAGTGCAATTTTCAGCCCACAATTAAATGATATAAATACTTTCTCTAAGCTATATATGTGGCTTACCTAACTCATTTCATAGTTTTTAGCACTAGTTTTTCCTAGAATACCCCTAGGAGAAAGGAAAGCATTATTTTGTATTCCCATATTGGGTAAAGAGCTGGGAGAGTTGCCAGCCTGGCCGAGACTCAAGCAAGAGCATCCACCCAGGCCGCAGATCCAGCTGCATCTCTGAAATGCAGGTGGGTCCCCCCCAGCCACCCGGCCGTCTCTCCTCCTCGCAGCCGCATAAAGGCGAAGCCGCGTCTCCAGGAGGCTGTGGGGTTTTGGCCTGAGCACTCTGCAAACGTAATGCAGCCTGAGCTCAACTGGCTCGTTAAGTCAGACTGGAGCGGAGCGGCGGAGGTGCAAACCGCATTCCTTTCTGCTAGCATGAGTATTGAGAAAAAAACACAGTTTCGCAACATACCCACCAGGGCAGCCAGAGCTTGGCTCCATGTTCGGTTTTTTTGTTGTTTTTTTAAGTGGAAATTAAAAACCAATATCTGGGACTACATAGAGGAGTTATGAGCATGAATAGTGAATCATAAGCTTGTTCTTTTAATTACTGTTGCATACTTAGAACCTATTCATGTCTTCAAAAGCCTCAAAGGACCAAATGAAATTGTGATACACTGATTTCAGCCTATGCAACCTTACTTACTGGAAGATGGTTAAAGTATCATTTAGAAGGAAAAGAAAGGAATATAACTACAACTGTTTCTTTCAGGTAGAAACTGAAAGCAATCTTAAACATACCAGGTGCAGAGCACAATACAGTAGCCATGAATGACATTGCACAGAAAACTGAGGTATGTATCAATTTTAAAGTTAGCAAAGTAATGTAGTAATTTACAACTGATGCTTGCAAAAAGAGTAATTACAAACAATTGTAAAAGACAAACAATTATACTGGAAGTCTGCTGGTATTGCTGTTACTTTAAGACAATGGAAGGGCACTTTAAAACAGCTTAAGGAAACTATCTAATGTGATGGAGTCTGTGAAATATGTTCTTACTAAAAATGAAGGAGGAAGGCAAAATAAAGGTAACAAAATATGAAGAAACTTTAACGGTTGGGGGGGAAATTCGGGGCAACATTCGCATCTAATCCTAAAATGTTAATATTAGGCTACTTCAAGTATTTCTTCTACGTAGATTCGCTGAGCAACAGGAACAAAAACTATTGGTTTAGGTGGGAAATATGAAACACGGAATGTTTTTAGCCAGTTTTCTCAGCATTACTGTGTTGAGAGCATTGTTGTAGACATTACAGGAAAAAGAGAGAAAACTTCACTGTAGTTCTGAAAGTGGGAACTTCGCTTACTGTTTGGACACACGCAGAGTAAGCACTGGCAAAGAAGTGTCCATTAGCTGCATCAGAGTCCTGCAAGCCCAGTGATCTTGGCACTTCTTTATAACATAAAATCACTGGACTTCTGAGTTTCTCTAAATATTAAAAACTGTATAAAATATTGGAAGTTTTAAATGAACTCCTATACAACTTATTTAAAAACCATATATGGCTGTTGAAGCATCGCAGAAGAAAACATACATATTGTATTATATGTCTATGTCTTGATATCTATTTTAAACGTTACGGGTAGAGAGGCTCTTTGGTGACTGCTTATGATTGAAAGCAACAATATAAATTTGTATCTAATTTTTAAAGCCGTAGTAATTGAAAATGTACATTCGCATAGTTCATATACTTAGTTACATAGCTATTCATTACAATTACTTATAGCCTAAGTTTAATACAATGCTAAATGTTGTTTTGGATATTTGAGTATTTATTACTATTTATGAACAAATACAATGATGCTTAACTGATGATGGCTAGTGGCACAAAGTTCATAATCCCAAATGCACTTCTGTTTTATGTTCTTACATTCTTTCTAATCCAATCTATCCGAATATTTCTGTCCACCTGTTTCAACTTTCTTTTTCTTATCTTCATTTCTTCACCAAGATTCTGCTTTCTTCATCTAAACCCGTCCAAAAATCCTATGTGCCCAAGCTTCACAAGGGTGATGTAAAGGATAAATTTGAAGCTATGCAGAAAGCAAGGGAAGAAAGAAATCAAAGGAGATCTAGAGATGAAAAGCAAAGAAGAAAAGAACAATATGTTAGAGAGAGAGAATGGAACAGGAGAAAGCAGGAGGTTATTTTCTTTGCAAATATTTTGTGTTATTACAATATTCAATATTATATGTGAAAATCTTTTCACGTTATTTTAAGACAATAATATTGGAATTTTATTTAAGTTATAAAGACAGTTTACTTTCTGTGTTTCATCAACTAGATGAAAGAACTGCTTGGATCTGATGAAGATGATGACGCAAAATTATCTAAAATAGAAAAAGGTTATGTTCCAAAGCTAATAGGTAAGAGAGGCCCAATTTTAAAGGCCACATAACTCACTAGGTAAGTATTAGATGTAACTATTGAACTGTGTATTTCACATTCACAGGAACCGTTAAAGGCAAGTTTGCAGAAATGGAGAAGCAAAGGCAAGAAGAAGAAAGAAAAAGAATGGAAGAAGAAAGAAAGCGCAGAATTGAACAAGATATGATTGAGAAAAGAAAAATTCAAAGAGAATTAGCAAAAAAAGCACAGGAGGTATGTTCACCTGATCACCATAGTCAGGATATAATTGTAAACAATCAACACAAGAGAAAAGTTTTGTATTGAGCAGAAGATTTGATCTTAAGATTTTTGATAGTAGTGATTTACACGGGAGTTGCTCAATGGGATGGAAGCGGGAAATAATGTTCAGAGAATCTTAATCTTTGCTTCTTTGCAGTAACAATTTTTTTAAGCATTAAACTTGAGTTGAAAGCGGGCAGGCATAAACCTGGTAGGAATGTGAATCAGGCACAAGTTTTGGTGTCCTATGCATACAAGAGTTTATAGAATTTACCAAACTAATGTGAAAATGTTTTTTACGTTTTACCAACCCTTACTTTAGATAATTTTTGCTTATACATTAGTGAATACAGTTCAGTGACAGACGAACTAAGGCAAGCAAGAAAAAATAAGAAAATGCCATCAGCAGACAAAAATGAGAAGAGACTAATGCAGTGAAAATCATAAATCATTAAGATCCAGATAATATTTTATTCCTTTGCCACTTCGTGAATCTTTATTGCATATATATATATATGAACAGACTCCAACTTTTGTTGATGCCAATAAAGCAAATTTTGTCTTTTGTAGAATTTTGCATTGGGGTATCATATTTAATTCCTTTTGTCAGTTTTCTTCAGTGCTGCAAATAATGCAGTGAGAGTGAACATCTAAATGATAGACTAGAACCATAAACAAACTTTTATTTAACCACAAGATAGTACTACTTAATTTAGATTTGTTTTTGCTGTAAGAAAAGAAAAATAGCGCTCTAGGAGGAGTCGGTTTTCAACAAGGACTTGGATGGCATTTTCTACTAAGACTTCTAACACCGTTAAAACTGTACTTTTAACTGGATCTACCATATATCTAGTCTACTCTGAAGTACATACGATGTAGAATTTTAGAAAGTATGTTAGTTTTACAAACTAACATATAAAGACACCATATGAAGCAAAACCAGCAATAGGCTTTTTGCAGGAGTTGAGAGGAAGACAATGTCACTGGAATCAGAAATAATCAATGAGTTTGCCTTAGCTTTTTTTCTTTTTAAACAATTCTGGAGTGCTTAAATGAAGAATGGATGTCTAAAGTACTTGGTTCTTCACTGAAGTGTTAAGAATGCTTTAGCATACTTTCTGTATGATGTTTTATGTCATGTTCCCTCTTCCTCAACAAGCTAATATATCTGAAGTATTCCAACAAAGGTTCAGTCATTATCATCTCTGTGAATTTGAGTGCTACATACATATCATTGATACAAAAAGAATTTCCAGTTCTATGTTTGCAAATCTAAGGCAAAGAGCCAAAGTAATGTAATCATATGAAATTCTCATTTAATAGATTGATGACTTTAACAATACGGGAACTGACTCAGCAGCTGAGGTAATCAGATTTTTTTAAAGAAATGTTCACCTACATTTTTATTCACTTTGTTTTATTATTATAATGTGGGCTGGGAAAATTTAGAAAACGGCACACAAGTACCTAATTAAAATTCAACCAAGGAGCTAACAAATTTTTAAAGTATATGGAACTATATGTCGGTACTTTAAGTCAATTTATATAAGTTTGAAATAGAGTCTGCACTGTGAATACTTTGTGGGTAGTTAAAAACATCTAAAATGTAAATATTCAAAGCCACCAGAATGATTTGTGGTATACTGACAACGATACTCTAAGTTCTCTGTCTTTGGAAAGTATCTTCTTAAAAGCTCTTTGCCTTAACCTTGAAATTGAAAGGGGATTCTGTCACTATACAGATGTTTGAACACCTTACTCAGTTAACTTTTTTTTAAAATTGACTAATTTACCATATGGGTTTGGATTTTACGTCTTGCAAATACATGTTTAATTTCAAAAAGCTAGGTCCAAAGGTCCTATTGTCTTCCGCTAACACAAGAAAAAATCACATTCCTACTACAGTTTTGGAAAGAAAAAAACCCACAACAATAAACCAAGAAACATTAGTTTTAAGTTATTTGACAGTATCCCTGTTAATCACGGTATTTTGTGAAAAAAACTGGGTTAAATGTATTTCGGCAAGTAAGCTGTGAAAATAGCTTTGCAGCAGCAACATCCTTCAAAAAAATTACTTTGCCTGAAAAATTACATATTGCTCTTTAGAACTACTCATTCCAACCACAGTATATCCTTTACATAGTAAATGTAAGGCTGAAGTAGAACGTGGCTACAATTGCCATGGATTCAAAATTTCACCTGTTCTTCTCCAAACCATGAATATTTATAACTAACAGTTAATGAAAATATGTAAAGAAATTAAGGAGTTTGCCAGCAGTTATGTTTAAAATATAATTCAGTCTTGACACTTTTCAGGTATTACAAGCAAACTAGTGACTGCCATGGGCAGATGGGTTTATTCTTGTGGTTAATACAAGTAATTCTTTTGGAAGCTTTGGTGCACACAGGTAAAAGCAGCAGTTTCATTAAGAAATGAGCCTATCTAGAAGTCAAGCTTTATAAAAATATAATAAATATCTTTTTGGACAGGAAGGGGATGATTCACTGCTAGTTACAGTAGTGCCTGTAAAACCCACCAAAACACCTGGGAAGATGAAAACAAACTTTGAGAACACAGGAAAGAAGAGAACAGAACAAAGAGAGAGACAGGATGAAGAAACAAAGCTAAAACATGAGGAACAAAAACAATTCCTTAAGGAAACCAAGTGCCTTTCATTTGTCACGGTAAACCACTCACCTAAAAATACCTAAGAAATAATTATCTATTATTTAAGATATAACCATTTTATTTTTCTTATGCAGGGTGAAAATGAAGACAATGAAACACAAGAGCCTCTGTCTCCTGGTAAGTTGAAAGTAACATTTGAAGAACTTGAAAGACAGAGACAGGAAAATCAAAGGCGGCAAGCAGAGGAAGAAGCAAGACAGCGTTTAGAAGAGGAAAAACGTGCTTTTGAAGAAGCTAGACAGCAAATGGTAAATACGTGTTTTGTTCATGTTGTTACAGAATTTTCACATAGGATATGCTTCTACATTCTTTCCTGTATCTGATTCTTCTTTTTTTCTTATTCCTTAACTGTATTTCAAGGTGTTAATGTCTGAAAATTAATTCTTGAAAGAGGTATTTTTGACCTTAGCTCTAACTCAGTAACCACACTGGCATAATGCTTTAGACATTCTTTTAGTAAAACCAGGAAATTTACGTGTTTTAAATTTGCCAGCAATCTTAGCAGGTTTTATATCTACACTTTGTAGTACCTTAAGCTGTAAGTCCTCAAGAAGATAATTAGTTGTCTGTTTTCTTCTTAAATAGTGCTTTAGATGTTTCAGTAACCAGTTTTTGAGAAAAACATTCTGTAGTAACAGAATGCTATTTTTTATTCCCATATTTATTTATAAATATGATAAATACATCAATTACAACTTTCCTCTTATGAAGAAAGGGAAAAAAAGACAAATCAGCTCCCTTGTATATATTGACATAAAAAACAATATATCAGAAATTACTGGATTAAGCCCCCGAATAGTCAGAAATGTGGCTTACAATTCCTATTTTATATTACTTGCAAAACTGCCTCCATGTGTTCTTTATCATAAGCCAGACTTATTTTAGATCAACTATAAACAGACCTCACTATAGTTTGTTCTTCGATCATACTAAAGGAATCCTACACTTAGTTTTGTTGTGTATTTCCTCACTTTACCATACTCCATTTCCAAAAGCATTTTTTAAGTTCTGTATTTAAATATCTTTCCCCTGTACAGTCATGATCATTATGACTTTGTTAATTCACATATGAAGATTAATGAGAAATGAGATTTTAACCTTCCATGAAATCTTTGAAAATGTTATTTCTAGGTGTTTGCTAACTTTAACTTAAATAGAGTATAATTATGAATGAACATTCTTGGACAAACGGCTCAAGATCACTATATTGACTGTATTTCAAAAACATTCAAGAAATTGATGTTATCCAGAAAAAAACGAACCACAGAACCTCCAGAAAGCCAGAACACTGAAATTCCCAAGTGGTCCAAATTGAGAGGGTTCTAGGTTTAGGCAGATACCCAAACTGTTGTTTACTACTCCACCCCCACCTCCGATAAATCACTTAACATTTCCACACCAATAACCTTGATGTTATGTCAATAATGCACTTTTTTCTTTTTATTTGAGGTTGGGCAGGGGATAACTAGTTAAGGTGAAGAGGGAAGAAAATGAAGGAGATAAAACCTCCTGGAGTCACTAGCTGTTCTAACTGAAATTTTGTTCACACCTCCCACCCTTATGTATATGTACTTATTAACCAAGTAATTTACAAATTCCCTACTTCAAAAGAAATTTCCTAACGTGGACTTTTATCTGGTATCAGTGGTTGTCAAAATTTGAAGTCAAAGGTTTTCTTAAAGGAAGAGTTCAACAGTTAATTTCCTTCAATTCTTTCTTTTTCCCCTATGAATTCCAAAGAAAAGATTTCTGTAATTCCATTAACCAGCTACCCCACATACCAGTCCCAGGGCTGCTTGCAGTATACAGAAATCTGGATTATCAATACTCTGACAGTTCCCGGTCCATTTCCTCCATTAACAAATAAAGTACTCTGAGATGTCTTCTGAAAATGGTTCATTCTTCTGTTCTTGACTGCAGTTTGCAAACTACAGGCTTCTCTTAGCAGATAAGTGTTCACTGGAGATAAGCAATAGTGAAGAGATCAGAGTATCTCAATTCCCTTTCTTCAGTGATGATTAAATGTCTAAAAAGGAAAGAAACAAAAATCTCAGTCTGGTGTAGTAGCAAAACGTGAATTGATTTAGTTTTGCTATAAAACTACAGCATTTTTTTAACTGGTAAGTGCATTGGTAAAAACAATTTATATGCAAACAAAAAGACTTGATGGTATAAAGGTCTGTGAAAGTGAGGTAAAGAAAGTGAATAGGGAGTGATTTACAGTAAATGATCCAACCCTGAGACCATAAAATATGTACTTAATTGTTCAGCCTTTTCCTGATAACGCATCATTCTTTGAATTACACACTCAACAAACAGCTTTTTAAAAATTATAGAAGCTACATATAGGATACTGGAATACACTTCTTTTCTCCCTCCCCTGGCTAAAACCAAGACTAAAATGTTTCTTGTAGAAACCAAACTCTTGAAACATTTTTTTTCCCCCAGGAGAAAAAAACATTTATGAAAGATCAGAAAGGAATTAACGGAATATTTATTTACTCTAAAGAATATTTTTATGTTTGGATAAGTAATTTCTATTTTTCCCTCTCCCTCTTCTCTGAAGATAAATGAAGGTGGTGATGAAGAATCTGAAAATTCTGCTAAAGAATTCCGTCCTGGTAAACTCAGACTCAGTTTTGAGGAGATAGAAAGACAGAGGAGAGAAGAGGAGAAGAGAAAAGCAGAAGAAGATGCAAGACGACGCATAGAAGAGGAGAAAAGAGCATTTGCTGAAGCAAGGAAGAACATGGTATGGCATCTTTGTTGAGTGTATGGTTTAATTTTTACCTAAAGTCTCAAATGAACTGGAAAGCAACTCTCGGAAAAACCTTTAAATAGAGTTAGGAATGCATGCTTCAACTCCTTCACTTCATTAATTAGTTCACCTCACTACTTATTAGAAGGTAGTGGGGTAAACTGATCAAGTTCGTGTACCAAAAATCATCACAGAACAATCCCTCCTCACAGCAAGCCTAGAAAGGATTTCAAATAATTTAGTCAAAACCAGATTTTGTGTCCAATGGGTATTATGCTAGATGCAACAAACTAGAAAAGCAAAATGTTTTCACAAGGAAGGTTTGTTGGTTT